ATTTATAACAAGGTTATGAAATGGACTTTTCTAGGTGACAAATGCTGCTCTCCCTGTAAAAGTGTTTTCTACAAACTAGTATCTGTGTTAGTTAATGAAAATAAGTGTTTATTCCAGAGTTCATACTCTGTTTCCCTTTGTTTGCTATTAGCATGACAGTAATTTAGTTGAACCATCAGGGAAAGAAAACATCCTTTGGCTTGAGTAATCAGAGTGACAAATTAATATTTGCTCAAGTTTGAGGCAGTTGGTCTCATATGGTTGACATGTGGTAGTTTGTTTGAAGTGCTCAATGAGGCAATTCATCTCATGAGGACCATTCATATCGATTGCCTCACCATTCAGATCACAATGGGTGGAAATGATTCACCACATATCTTGTTTGAAAAGAGAAGTGTGTTGTGAAAATGACTGAACTGGATACCAACAGGTCTACACAGATCAACTTCTGCGAATTGCTATAAGGTGTGGGAAGATTTCAAGACTTTTATTTTCAGTGTTTCTCAACCTTGGCAGCTTGAAGATGTGTGGAGTTTAGCTTCCACAATTCACCAGCTAGGGGAACTCCACACATTGTCAAGCTGATGAGGTTGAGAAACACAGCCCTGAAGTTATGGACTGAATCGTGTTAAGCTACATTTTCTGAGCTATATATTCAAGAATTATTTGTTTATTTGTTTATACAAAACACATTAGGCCATTAAATGATTTCCAAGTAACAAATAATTCACATAATACATTAAGCCAAAGCTAAATAACTCAAATTAATGCTGAATACAACAAATAAAGTTACTGTGGCTTGGGGCCTCATTTTAGCACCAAAGACAATACCTGTTGACAATCAGGGGTTGTCTTATATTTTTGTGGTCACCTACCACTTCAGTGATTCAGATCTGAAGGTGCGGGACCAGTGGGAAAAATAATAGAAAAATTGAGTCTCTTCACAAAAGATTAACTTACTGTCTTTGAATGGTCTTATTAGCCAAATTTTGTATTTCCTTGATTGTTATAACTGTCCTTAGTTTTGAGATGTTCTTTCATATATAATAATTATTTCAATTGCTTTTAAACCTGTCACTGGGAAGATGTTCTTGGCGTAGCAAACTAACGTCCACATGGCAGAAGTAATCAATCACAATACTTTCAGTTTCTTTGACAGGAACATTTTCAGACTGTCCACAGTAATTCATCAAAGATGAGGGGAGATGCAGGAGGAAATACAGTTCTCTGTTAATGTATCAGCCTTCCTCAAACTGTTGCCTTTCACATGTTTGGACTTCAGCTATTATAATCTATAGCTTAGCTGTCATGCCCATAATTTGTAGCCAATAAATTGGGTGTATGTTCTTGTAATCTACCACTTATGCAATGGAGGATTTGGAAAAGGTTCAATGGGTCACTAATTGAGTCTCTTTTAGATATTTTAAAGCAATATTGGAATGATTCCTTAATTCTGAATTTGCATAATATTGTATCCTGTGATGTGACTCTAGTCTATACTTAAGTCATAATTCTATTTTGGGGGGGGGAAACCTAGGTTTTCTTCAATAGAATGTTTCATTTGCAGAATCCTTTGAACATCTCATTATACTTCTCTCTTTTTGATGAGCTACCTTCTATGCAGTGAGGCCCCACAAAGAGTTAACATGTTTCCCAATGCTCCAACTTGCTGCCAACATAACAAATCCTGAGTTTTGTCCTCTAGCAGTTAATGCCATATTAATTATGGCATTATAAAACAATCAATCTCTACTCTTCCCATTCCTTTTCTGGATAGAGAAAAATGAAAGAAGAGAAAAGAAGGTTATTAATGTTCTTACAAACAGATTATTCAAAATATGTGCTTTGTAAAATGCTATAAAAATGTAATATTTGAAAAAAAAATTGTACTGAAATTTCACTTGTAACTTATATTTGTTCCAATCAAGTATTTCAGGAAATTAGTCAGTTATAGAAGTTTGAAATACAGATGAATTATTATCCTTCAACCCCCATTTCCAAATGCCAGTAAGTTGTTGTACTATGAATTTAACGCTAGTTTGTAGACTAGATTTATTACAGTTGAGAGTGGAGATCAAAGACTTACCTAATGATTTTCTACTTTTGTCTTTTATGGCCAGGAAAGGCTGAAATAGTTAACACTGAAGGCAAGAACAATTGGATGCATAGCTACATTTCCCCTTAGTAATCAGTCCAGAGTTAGAGACAAATAGTAGTTTTGAGTTTTCTGCCTCGAGGGATCTTGGAAATTACATGAACTTATTTTTTTTTTTTCTCAGAAAGAGGGGGGGGGGGAAACACTCTTTTTCAGCAAGATACCCTTTGAAGAATTTCCACTTGCCTAGTACAAGGAAATCCCCAGAGACTCAGTATTGTTCAATAGTGGCTAAAGAGCTTTGGGACTATATGCTTTTGTCTTTCCCAGGCCCCGGGCCTCCTTGCAAAGCACTGCATTTGGACTTCAGTTGCAAGGTTAAGAGTCAGTGCTGGAAGACTTTCATACGCATATCAATTGCACAGGATTTTACCATGAGATTCCCAGAGATTTAAGATAGGCTCAGAAAATAATAAAGTTTTTATGAAAGGATAGAGCTTCTTCTCCATCTTTTCAAGAAGTTAGAACACTTTATACCATGAAAATATGTATTGGCTGTTCATATAGTGTAATGTATTCTGGATGGCCATAAATAATTAAAATATGCACATGGTTATGTAGGATGCATAAGTGAAAGACATTATTAAAGTTCATAGATGCATGATTTTAAAACTATTGCCCCCAAAGGGTGAGATCACAGGTGAGCAAGTGTGTCAGAAGAAAGCTAAGAGAAGTATATTTATAGTAACTGTTCTCTATAAACAAGCATAGAAAGTAAAGAAGAGTCTAATTAAATGCTAATGATGTCCTAACACCTTTTCTTTACCCAGATGTTTCACTTGAATAGAAATTGGAGGTTCCAATGCACAAAAGGCCCTCCTGCAAGATCATTTGGAGAAGTATAAACAATATATTAAAAAGCAATTTGGTCATAAAACAATTTCAGAATAAGTATCTAATTCTGGGCTCACAACTTGTAATATGAAGTTACTATAACAAAGGACAAGGTTTCTAAGTAGGCTGGATAATGATTTCAGTTTGTTAGTTTTGATTATTTGAGGTCTCTTGATGTAGGAAATAGCATTTGATCTTTCAACAGAGGAACTTATGACCTCTGCTAATGCAGTGCTTCCCTTCTGATGCACGTATCCTTTTAGAAGAGCAAGGATTGACATCAGGACATGATGTCATGTGACATTCTGGATCAGTGTCAAGGATAGCTGGATGTTTTCCAGAGAAAATAATTACATTGATGATGAACTCTTTCTTAGCAGCTCTTTAAGTGGATATTTGTCAGCTGTTACAGCATAATTTATTTATTTGTGTGTCCTTTATAGAAAGAAAAGAAATGCATCACCATGTGTTAATCAGATGTTTTACTGGGCTTGCTACATCACTTCTGGTTTGAAAGCTACTTCTAAAAAATACTTAGCAACTAATATGCTAATCATGAATTCCTCTGCTTTTCATTGACTATAACTGTATGACACATGTATTTCAAAATGATTGTTCAAAAGCCTTTTAATAAAAAACAACAAAAATAAACATCGCCATTGAACTATTACCTATGGAAGTTGTGGGAAGTTACTTTTACATTTAGTAGGAAATAAACTAAACTATGTATAAACATGGATTTTACATACAAATTAGAGCAAGTAAGTTGAAAGTGGACCACAATCTTGAACTTGCAATCTGAACCATTATACTACCACCAACTACCCAACCAAATAAGAGACCCTCCCATCTCCTTTGCAGCCCAAGAAACTAGGGAGAGTTTATTCTAACACTCATGCGCCCCCCCCCACATTCCTCCTATGGGCTAAGTTTCCTTTTTCTGATCATTCCCGTGTTACTTTGCTTGGTCTTCAGTCATTTCTGTATACCATTACACAGTACCAACAATTCATGCTAAGTCATGTTCAGATTCAACTATGAAATTATGGATTCTGAATTTTACACCAGCAGCAACAACAGCAGAAAAAAAAAACTGACCTTGAGATTAAATAGGTATTTGTCAAAAACAGCTTCAGGCTTCATCTGGGATGATGGATAATACAATAATAAAAGTGAATTTTAGCACTAGAAAAGCTAGAGATTTAGCTGTGCTGCCATGGTATAAAGCTATGACCTGCAGCATTGATCCATTTTTAGCCACAGTGTTACCAAAACCCATACTTAGATGTCCTGTCCATGAATAATTTTTTTTAAAAAATTAGATAGCTGCCTCTTTCTGGTGCCACCTGAAACAAAATATGGAAGAAGAATAAGAAACTTCATGGAAATTATTTATTTTAATATAAGATCACCTAAATGTAGTATCAAAACCCAGATCACATTGAAAACCAAAAATTAAATAACCATGATTTTCTGCTTCTACATCAAATAATGAAAACTGCCAATGATGTCATGAGTTCCATCCACCAAAAATCATAGGAAAAATGAGTACAACCATTCACCTACGAGATAATTCAAAGCTGTAACCAAAAAAATTGCTCAACTATTTTATAGTATTAATTTATATCATTCACTGTGTCTCCAATTTTTAATGTCAATAGCTTTGCAAGAGGTGCTATATATAATGCTAAACACAATTTATTTCAGAAGAGAGCTCTGGCCTCAAAGCATATTTAACAGGAAACATGCTCCCCATTTTACAGATCAAATCAAATGATGCTGGATAATTCAATTATTTCAGGGTTTTGGATAACATTACAAAGTATGGGAATAAAACAATCAGAGTCATTTGATTGGAATTAGAGAAGCTCATGGTACTGCAGTTTTGATCTTGTTTACTGACCTATAGTACAGTCTTTATGTTATGATACAAGGGCAGCATAGAAATAAAAATAAATCTGATACAGTAAATGTATAATATCTTTTCTTTTTGTTTGTTTTGTATTTCTAGGTCTATATAATCAAAGTAACATGGTCAGATGCAACTTGCCAGACAATCTACCGGAGGTATAGCAAATTCTTTGACTTGCAGGTAATGAATAATTTTTGTTTTTTCTTTGGGGAGACTATATGTGTAGAATTGACATAGCCTCTCACAGAGCTGTTAATAATGATTTGAATCTAATACTATTACAGCTCACTGCAGATTTTGCATTATCACTGAAATTGCTTCCAGAAAACTTGAAAATACTGTTTGGGAGAAGTTTCTTTGGTTCTCATGGTGAAAGGGCTTGCATAACTACATTGTTCTACAGTCTTCCTTGTGGGAAACTGTACATCCTCTTCCTTGATTATTGAAAGAATATGTCCCATGAGACCCAACACTTTCCCTCTTAAATTTAACTTCCTTTTGTTTGTGATTCTGCTGATAGTATGTATTGGTTATCTTCTGTCTCTCCCACTGCCTTCCGTGAGGTCTTCCTTTTGTGACCTGTAAGTATGCATGTTCAGCGTGAAGCCATTTCTTAGTGAAAAGATTCAAAGGATCCAGTATAATCAGAATTCAGCTTTAGAACAGCTTTGAATATATTTATCTAAATTTGTACTAATCAACAAGTAATGGAGGGGTGAGAGTGGATAGTCAATGGGAGCAATAGCCTCAGCTTCACAGATAAAAGGGGCCTTTCTCAGAATACAATTCCATAGGCACAGAGTACTATCTAATATGGAACAAGTGGTATGACTGGTTGGAGACTAGAAATAATAGAGGAGAATAAATGTGGAAAGGTCAAAAGTGAAAATGTGTGTATAATAATTTATAATAATAATAATATATATTACTCTTAGTATGAAGTATACTATGAAGGAAGAAAAATGCAAATAAGAAGCAATGGGGCAACAAGGACAAATATTCTAAAGAAGAATAAGGGGAGGAAATGTAAATAATAGAAGATTACTGTTACAAAATTCTGTTAAAAAAGGGGGAGGAGTATATACTGTGTGTGTATGAGTGTTATGTTTTGTTTTGTTGGTTTAAAAAAAAATTAAAAAAAGAACATAATTCCATATTTGTAGTGATCAGATCATTTAAGGCAATAACATTAGTTATTTCAATATTTTGGGTTTCTCTTGCATGTTCTCATCTATAGGGTAATTGGACAGAAAATAATGGGGGCTAACAGGGGATGCAGTGAGAAAAAACTGGGTGGGGAAACAGATAAAAATTCTGCCCACTGGTTTCAGCACCTGGGTTAAAAACTTACTTTGCTTGTGTATTTCACTGTGTATTCTACAGTGTATCCTCTTGTTCTGTTTTACTAATTTTGTATTTGTTTCTTCTATTTGTGTGTGCAATTATACCTTAAAATGGTTATTGGAAAGGTTTTCTATCAAGAGGCATCTTATCTAGGGATCCCATGCCATGTGCAGCATTGTGGAGTTTGCTTCCTCATAAAGGGAGAGAAGTAGAATGTCTGACATAGAAAATTCCTCTGAGCAGATACAAGGTTGTCTTAATATCCACCACAGAAGTTAAATCAAAAGAGCTGATTACTATTAGTGAAATCAGTAGCAATAAGTCTTAATAAAGTCACTATAGCTATTTATTTCTGTGGAAACAGGAAATAACTAAGATGTGACTCATGGGAAAGAATCAATGGAGCACTGGTAATACAGTAGTTGGTTAGATTACAGATTTGAGGAAACTTTGATCTCTATCAGACAAACATGGCAAAAGGATGTTGCATCCTTGGGATTTAGTAGTTTGCAATTGCTTATGTAGTTGGATGGAAGCATCAAAGACTTATCAGCAGGATATTGGTTGCATTCATCATATTGAGCTTGCAAAAAGGAATTAATGTTAACTCAGGCTCACAAAGCCATCTTCTTTCAGAGTCCCTTTAGGAAAGTTCATTTGGAAACAGCTGTCCAAAGAGCTGAGCAACTTTAACCATTCTTTTTTACTTTTACATAGAGAGCCCCCACATTTGGCATTTCTTACAAATGTCTATCCATTTTTTTAATGTTATGATCCCAACTCATGAGGCCTTATTAAGATTTCTATAAAACTTGAGAAAGCAAATTCTCCATCATATTTCCTTCTGTTAACATTCCTAAGCTGAAGTAGCTATGAAGAAGGCTTGTTTCATCTTCATCTGATAACACTTTTTAAAAAATAATTATCCCCTTCGTTTTCAAATACTTTCTTTTTATTAAACAGCAGTTTTCCCCCACCCCCAGCCTTGCCTGTGTTCCTGCAAGTCTCATAGACTTTCCTGTTAGGTTTGAAAAGTTCCCATCAACTAAAGTTATCAATAGGGTTAGTGTGTTGTACAGGAAATGGTGTCTCCAATTGGGAGAAGGAGTTTTGAAAGGTCCCATTGATAAGCAAAAAGGGAGGGATGACTTAGCAACAGTGGAAAACATTTGCTGAATAATATGCATCTTTCTCCCATTCCTTTTTGAAAGCATATCAAGAATGTTCCCATCCCCAATACTTTTTTATTTTAATCCTTTTGTTATTAAATATTGTAACAGTTACCATTCTGCAAGCTGAACTGAAGGACACCAACCCACAACAAGTTGCAATATTCTTGAATGGTTTAATAACAGTATTCATGTTTGCTATAGGCTTATTTGCATGTGTTTATTGAAGACATTTTATTTGGTTGTTTCAAACAGCACTGAAAAAAATTATACAAGAATTCAGCAGATTAAGATGTGCCTAAAATGTGCCTTTCAATATAGTAACTGGTTGCTCTGATCTATGGATTGCACCTAATGGGCAAGGCACCATAGCAATAGCACTTAGACTTATACACCGCTTCACGGTACTCTACAGCCCTCTCTAAGCGGTTTACAGAGTCAGCATATTGCCCCCAACAATTTGGGTCCTCATTTTACTGACCTCAGAAGGATGGAAGGCTGAGTCAACCTTGGGCTGGTGAGAATCGAACTGCCGAATTGCAGGCAGCCTGCAGTCTGCAGAAGTAGCCTGCAGTACTGCATTCTAACCACTGCACAACCATGGCTCATATTATGTCATAATATTATATCATATTAAAGTCAGGAATATTGGAAGAACCACCACCATGGCAAAGTGGTTAGAATGCAGTATTGCAGGCTAAATCTGACTGCCAACTGCCAGCATTTCTGCAGTTGAAGTCTCATTGGCTCAAGGTTGACTCAACCTTTCATCCTTCCGAGCTCATTAAATGAGGACCAAGTTGTTGGGCGCAACATGTTGATTCTGTAAACCGCTTAGAGAGGGCTGTAAAGCACTGTGAAGCGGTATACAGTATGAGTCTATGTCCTATTGCTATCTGCTTTTAACTTTCAAAGACTTATTTCACTGCGAGTTCTTGGATTTTAAGTCATGCTTAATAACACTCCCTAAGGAGCAATCATCACTTATATCTCTTTTTCTATTAATTGTGCAATGATACATCATGAAGATAGGACTGATTCGGCTCTATATTATCATACCATGAGGGAAAAAATGGAATGTTTATCTCATTCCTAGTCCATGTTAATTTATTCCCTTCCTATCTGTTTCATCATTTCCTGTCTTAACATTCCTATGATGTAATGCTCTTTCTTTGTTTATTTCCAGTTTGTAAAATACTTTTAGAATATTTCTAATTCACTTGTATTGTATTTTCTGTATCTTTTTGGTTATTTAACTTGAGCACTTGTTTTTATGACTGTTTTGCAGATCAATATTATAAATATATTCAACGTTTAAAAAAAATGTATTAAAATAAAACATCGTGCATTGAAAATTAAGTCCAGAAGAGTCCTTCACTCATGAAAGGAGCCTTTGACTATTACAAGGGCTCTTTCGATAAGTGGATAACTATCTTTGGATCCAATCACTCTATGACATTAATATTCTTAGGTCAAATTTATTCCTGTCTTATGGTCCCATTATCTATAACAGAAGTCCCATTTTTATAGCTCTTAGAGTCTCTTCACTGTAACTGCTGAAAATTAATAGTGGGGTTTCCTGTCATTTTGAGATGAAAAATATATAAAAAACTTTATTATAAAGCTGAAAAAAGGCATATTGTAGTGTAGTTAAAGCATATTGTGCTGTAATTAAAGAAGATTTCCTTAAAACTGCCTTCCCCATTATGGGGTGATTTGACCCTTCCCACTTTATAAACATCCTTAAAAATGTCAGGCAGCCCTTGCCAAAAGGTTTTCCACTTTTGATTTAGAATCTGATATTTGGTAAATAATGTTGTTTACTAACTTGCCACAATGATGAAAAAGTGGTGATCATAATAAAATATCCACTCTTTTTGAGTCTCTGGCTATATATTAATAAAATAATGGTACCCCCTCTAGCCCCCCCATAAGGATGACAGACAGATGCAAGTGGATTAGTTTAAGGTTTGCCTATTGACACTGTGATGCATGTTCCATAATTTTTCCCTTCCTCACCACTATACTTACATATTTTCTAGTAACTTTAATTGTGTTTGATTCAAATGTAGCTATCCACCAATGAATGAGCCCATTTGAATGCTGGTGTCACTGCATTTTGCTTTTTATTCTGAGTGTTGTGTGAACTCTACCATTCTCCACACATAAAACACACTGTGCTAGGTCATGGTTTCCATAGCTGTATTTTATACATTACGCTTAAATAACCATATATTGTTGAATGAGCAACAGTAATATATGTTTACACCACATAAAACACAATCTATAGTTTATATTATATTTTATGAGCCCATCCATGATATTTTGAAAACCATGTCTTATGTCTCAGTATTCTGCGTAAACTCTACCAATTGTGTTATATGAATCAGATGATTGTGGCTTAATACTACTTGTGAATCAGGGCACTAAGTAGAGATTTTAGAATATTAAGTAGAACATAAAAATAACTCTACTGGATCGGCCTTCCCCAGTCCTGCCACAAACAATTAAGGAGGATCACTTCCATAATTCTTAACCAGCATTGACAATAGTCTTGTTAGTTGGGATGATGGGAATTGAAGCACAATGCATCTGAAGGAAATCAAGTGGCAGAAAGCGTATTAGCTATTCAGCCAGCTTTATGAATTTAGAATAAATTGAAGCAGT